TGTGTATGACCTCCAAACCCCTCCCCACCAAATGGCCACTCACCTTTTTCTTTACTTCCCACCCCCATTCTCTTCACTTTCTTCCTCCATTCCTGGGACATTTCACATTTGTCCTCAAAACCTGCCAGATTAATTTCACTTTATTTGAAGACCCTTACAGGGACTCTTAGCTTTATAGATGACCCAGCTAAGGCTGAGCTACAAACCCTGTGATTGTTAACCATCCTTGTACATACAGTTTGCAGGCTCCACATTCGCTCCTGGTCAACTTTTCCTCCTCTCCTCTGGGGAGAAAAATTCTTGTGTTTCAGTTCAAACCCTCCAAACAAACTCATCTAGCCAATGCATTTAAATGAGGCTTCTAGGTACTGGAAGTATTTTGTTTGTCTTCAGAGTCCCCATTAAGAGTTTTGGAATGTTAGGAAATGTCTACAGTACAGCAGCACAGGTCCAATGCTGCAGCTGTCCCTCTGTAGCACTGTAGTGCAGATGCTTCCTACACTGATGGAAGGGGTTTTTCCATCAATGTAGGTAATCTACCCCCGGGGAGGCAATAGGTAGGTCAATGGAAAAATTCTTCCATCATCCTAGCTGCACCTACAGCAGGGCTGAGGTCAACCTAATTATGTCACAAGGTGTGTGATTTTTTTCCACAGCCCTGAGCAACATAGCTAGGTTGACCTAAGATTTAGGTATAGACCAGGCCTGTGGCTCTCTCATAAATCCATATTGTTTGGGAGTTTAAATGTCCTTGTTTGTTCCCTTGAATATGGTGCTATATTAGGGGTTCTCAAACTTTTGTATTGGTGACCCCTTTCACACAGCAAGCCTCTGAGTGTGACCCCCCATATAAATTTAAAACATTTTTTATATTTCACACTATTATAAATGCTGGAAGTGAAGCAGGGTTTGGGGGTGGAGGCTTACAGCTCAGGACCCCCAGTAATAACCTTGCAACCCCTTGAGGGGTCACGACCCCCAATTTGAGAACCCCTGTGCTAGACTGAACAAGCTGATTTAAATGCAAGCTGAGTGAAAAGGGCTGTTCTATCACAATCTTAATGTGCTTGCTAATCCTTTGGCTTTCCTGATCCCAGGTTAAAAAGAAAGTGCAACCATCAAACTGTCCACTCAATACAGAAGAACTGGGGCGAAACACATGGGCTTTCCTTCATACCATGGCAGCATATTACCCAGATCATCCCAGCAACACCCAGCAACATGAGATGGCTCAGTTTATTGACTTACTGAGCAAGTTTTATCCTTGTGTAAAGTGTGCAAAAAATCTAAGGAAAAGGTGAGTCCTTGTGGAATAAGGTCTAGTCTGCTCACAAACATGCACCTGTTTAACTAAACCAATGCTAGACTTTAACTGCATATTTTTATTTAAGTTTAGCTTAAACCTGTTTTTTGCACTGCTTTATATTTAAATTGGTTTAAAAAAAATTATACCTTACATGAAACTAGTGCAACCCTGCATATAGACAAGCATCAAGACAATCTACATGCAGGAAGCTAGCTTCAGGCACTGGTCTCTGTTAATGCGGGATGTAAATCAACCTGTTTCCCAGGGGTGCAGATGCCTTTTCACCATCCCCAAATGATATATTCTGTGTTTAAATGCATCATAAGACATATCACGAGAAGCACACAACTCCTGAGACAACACAGGCTCTGTGGTGGGGAATTCTGTTGCTCACAGGAGTGAATAGACCTGAGCAGATTCTTCCAGCAATGGTGTTTTCAGTGCTTTTGAATGGGTTCCAGTTTATCACAATCTGTGAGAACCTGTTACAGACACTGTGGATACAGTCAGCCTGTGTCATGCTGGGGAAAACAATGACTTTCAGTTTCCAAAAACAACCTCTACCTAGCAAGTAAAATAATCAATTCCACAAGCTTAACGAGCAGAAAGCAGGTAAACATTTGAGCAAGGCCGGTATATATTCCCTCCTCTAGAGGGCAGCGTTACACCTACTGTAAACTGGAGCCTATTCTTACACACAATGGGAATTGTATTATATTATTATTTTATTGTTGTTATGATTACGATAGCACTCAAAAATGTGCTACGTGTTCTCTAAGTATAGCTATGAAGGCCTAGTCCTTGCCAGTCAAGTGTATGAAACCAACAAGGAGAGGGCGGGGGTTTGTATTGGAGACATAGAGACTGATTTTCTAAAAACAAATTACAAGGAGCCCGTAATACACAACATCAGCTAAATGTTATTAAATCTGCCAACAGGTTTTCTCCTGTAAGGAGCTGATCAATGGGAATATTTTAAAGTATTAGTGAGCCCCGAGAATGTGATGGTTTATGTGGAGACAAAGCAGTTTGGACAGGGGCATCCAAACTTTGTCTAGCTTGGGGAGCATCAATAACTTGCCAGGAGCCTAAAGGGCTATAAAACAGAACAGACTGCAGACACCTCATCATTAATGAGAGTTATCAGTTATTAAGATATGGCCTATAGAAGATACAAGAATCTGCATGGTGTGTTTCACCCTGATGAGTTGAGGTTGCTCAGAGCAAGATAGATCATGGGACCTATAATTTCTGTATTGAAGATGGGGGTGGCCTCTGGCCACCTCTATAAATTCTGCAAGCACTTTAGCGACTCCTTGTTTGGAAAGTAAAATCAGTGATTCTGGACTAGAGTATGTAGTGTTTTGATTCTTTTCCACCTCTGCAGCTTAAGCATAAAAAAGCCAGACACCAGCAGCAGGAAGAAGCTATCCCAGTGGATGTGCCTGCTTCATAATGATGTGAACAAGATGTTGGGCAAACCCAAGTATGACTGCTCCCAGATGGATGAACGCTGGCGAGATGGCTGGAAGGATGGTTCTTGTGTCTAGTTTATGGAGATGCCGTTGGAAATAAGACTGATGTTATTATGATTTAAATACAATAAGAATTGAACCTGGTGCAATATAATTAAAGACAATACAAGTAAACATATGTGTACATATGTCCTAAATGTCTTTATTTTCTCAAGAAGCTTCCTATTTTCACCTGCAACTCAGAGAGCTCATTCCCCAACTGAATTCTCGGGGGACGAACCCAATTTTAAGTGATTATGTAGCTGCTAAGACTAGGACTTTAGGCCAGTCATGGGAACACATTCACAAGTCATGACAGAAATTGTGACAAGTTTTATCAGATCAAGCCTTTAAATATTCCATAAGTCCACTAACGTCAACATGTTAATAAACATTTACAGGAGCATGACCTTAAGTTGTGTTTTCCATCTTTTTGTTTCCTTTGCTCAGAGACGCCAGCATCTCAGACCAATTAACGGGGACTGAAATAATGAAATCACCTTTAGCCTCAATCAAGTTTCTGAGAACATGGGGGATTGTAACATTTTTGTTTAAAAACGGGGCTCTCCCTGCTAACTACAAACATGGATTTACATGGTTATCCTGTATTGTACATGCTCAAACAGTTTTATTTTCTAAACCAAGCAAAGGCACAAAGCTTCAGTGAACATCTCATCCAAACCAAATTTCAAACTTCAGCCATTTTGGGTAGCCCTGTCTAAACCTTGGATAACCAGAATTTTGTAAGTGGTTTTTAACCTATGGCAAGAAATGGATGCAAAGATTTTATTCAAAATCAGCCTTTACTGCTCAGATTCTCACTACAGACAAATCTGTATAGACTCTTGCAGATTCTTTTATCCTGTTAAAAATCAGGATGTCTAGGGGCTATATTCAAAGCCCATAGAACAATGGTTCTCAAACTTTTTTTTAATCCATGGACCACTTGAAAATTGCTGGGGGTCTCAGCAGACCATCTAATGATCTTTCCAAATGTTGTTTGTATGTTAGCTAACTATTGTAAAGTGCTTTGGATAAGAGCACAATATAAAAAAAAAGTAATAATAATTTAAAAAATTGTTCCACAAATAAAAGCACACAGCTCATATTTTAACATCAGTAGTCTTACCTTTCTAATGCAATGGATGTGCCCTCTCCCCCACACCGCAGCAGCCCGAGCCAAGGCTCGGAAGGACAGCAACCACAGAGCTGAGGTTGGGAAGGAGGGCTGTCTCTCCCGGGCAGCCACAGCCCTGGAGCTAGGGAAAGTCACCTCTTTCTCTGGCCGCCGCAGCCCTGCATGTCCCAGATTTGCCCCACTCCCTCTTTTCACACCACTACCCTCTCCCACCTACCCCTTATCCCCCCCACAAGGCCACCATCTCACCTTACATGTGCATCTTCTCCAGGGTCCAGGCACCTAATTAGTGGAGCCACACTTCCACTAATTAGGTGGGTGGCCCTTCATTCGCTTGTGTGCGGCCACCCAGGCCCACACCTTAGAGGGAACTGTCTGTGGACCACCTGAATGGAGCTCGCAGACCACTGGTAGTCTGCGGACCACAGTTTGAGAACCTCTGCCATAGAAGACTGTGGGAATCTTTCCATTGATTTCAACAAGCTTCCAATTAGGTTTTATAGATTTAATAAATCTAAATATTTCTAAGGCACTTAAATGGTGGGAGAAGCCTACTCTGTGTACCAACTAATTCCAAAAGTGAGTGCTCACATGGCTATGCCAGCCCTTGGTGCATGTTAGTGAATGTTTCTATTTTTTCTTTTTTCCTGTCTGTTAAATTGGGAGGGGCATGGAATGGGCATCTGGGCATCCAGATGCTGGTGCTTAGCTTTAAATGCATGAGCAGCCCCACAGGTTCAACAGGTCAAGTATGTGTGTGAAGGATTGGGGCTCTAGACTCCTCTGGCTTCAGTTTTCGTGGTCATTTCTAGTTTTCACTCTCTGTAGCAGCTGCTCTAGGGTGGGCCAAGCCCAGGGAAAGGGGGCACAGAGCGCTGGGGTTTTACCACAGAAGGGGAAACCCCCAAGAGAAAGTTTTCCTTTTTTTCTTTTCCGTTTCCTTCGCCTCTTCCTCCCTTTCATCCCTCACTCAGAGGCATCTCTCCCGCAGGCCAGGCCGCCTCCCCGGCCCTAGGCTAACAGTTGCAGCGGGGCGGGAAGAAGGCCACCCGGCCCAACATGCATTGCGGTTCCAAGATGGCGGCGCCCAGTGAGCGCAGAGGAAACCCGGCTTCTGACCCGGCCGCCGGCCCCGGCTCTTTCTCTTTCCCCCTGCCCGGGCCGCCGGGCGCCGGGGCGGAGGAACAGCCCAGGAAGAAGCCGTGCCGGGCCTGCACAGATTTCAGGAGCTGGATCCGGGAGCAACGGAAGCAGACGGCCTCGCAGAGCGGGGTGAGGGGGCGGCCGGGAGCAGCGCCCCCCCCCCCAGCGCGGGAGGGGCTGTGAGGAGAGATGAGCCCCAGCGATCCCCAGTCCCCTGCCGCCACGAGGGGGAGAATGGTTCCCTTCACGAGTTCCCCACCCCCTGTAATGTGCCCCCTGGGAATGACCCTTCTCCAGAATCCCCCTCTCCCTACAGACAGTGTTTGGCAGGGGAGTACGAATGAGCCCCCTTTCCCCCCCGCCCCTCACTCAGTGATGGAGGGGGGCATATGAGCGAGACATGCTTCCCCAGGACTCCCCTTACAGGATAGTGGGAATGAGAATCTCCACCCTGCCCGCACAGCCTTTCACAGGCTATGGGTGGAATAAGACACCCTCTCAGCGCTCCCTTTCATAGGCAGTGGTTAATGAGGGAATATGAATGAGACACCCCCCCCCCCCCCAAAACAAAAAACAAACAAAGCAAACTTTCCTTCACTGGCAATGGTTAACAGGAGAGTACAAATGACCCCCCCGCTCAAACTCCCCTTCACAGGCTATGGTTGACAGGGGGTAGGAATGAGGCACTCCCCACCCAGAACCTCCCCTTCACAGGGCATGGTTGATGGACAGAAGGTGTATGAGACAGTAGGCAAGTTATTTAACCTCTCTGAACCTCATCAACAAAAAGGGGAGTAATCATATTTGTCCACCTCATTTAAGGAGGTTTAGTTAGCTAATACCTGTATGGTCCTTGAATTGAAGGTGCGCTAGAAACACAAAGCATATGAGGTTAGTGTAAGGTATGTTAATTTTTTATCCCGAGTACTAATGTGCACATATAACCCTCTTGTTTCTCTGACCCAGGAAGCATATGTTGAAGAGGAGAAGGAGAAGCCTCCAGATTGTCCTCTAGACAGAGAAGAACTTGGGAGAAACACATGGTCTTTCCTTCACACTATGGCAGCATATTACCCAGATCACCCAAGCAGTTCCCAGCAGCAAGATATGACACAGTTCATTAACTTATTTTCCAAGTTTTTCCCTTGTGAAGAATGTGCAGAAGATCTGAGGGAAAGGTGAGTCTTTAAAAAAAATATATCTACAGGTAAGGGATCAACCTAAAGTGTTGGACTCTAATGGTCTGGTTTGCAGATCAACTTTTCCAGTAGTTGGTGGCTTTATGGATATTCTGTATTGTATATTGTTTTGCCAAAATGTAGTTTTATGATTGAATTAATCATAAATAAGGACACAGGACATACACATTCAGAGGACAAACACTCTGCCGTCAGACAGCACAATAGCTCCAAGAACTAGTGAAAGAAGTTTTGTTTGTTTGCTGGTTTGAATCTGGCTCATAATGGTCACACTGGGTCAGACCAAAGGTCCATCTAGCCCAGTATCCTGTCTTCCAACAGTGGCCAATGCCAGGTGCCCCAGAGGGAATGAACAGAACAGGTAATCATCAAGTGATCCATTCCCTGTCACTCATTACCAGCTCACTACCCAAACTGTGCTCACTATACAAAATGTTCTTCTGAACCGCAAAGGACAGCCACATTGCCAGGTCAATATTAGGTTGGATCTTACCCAAAATACCACACTGCCAACCAATCCTTTAGTGTCTAAAACTAAAGGTTTATTATAAAGAAAAAAGAGAGAACGAGAAAAGTTGTTAAATGGTAAAGCACTTAGGTACATACATAAGACTACAAAGTCCATCTATCAAGTTCTTAGCAGTGTTGGTGAGTTCACTGGCTTGAAAGTCCCTCTGGAACATGTCCACAGCTTGGATGGGTTATTCAGTCCTTTGTTCAAAGCTTTGTTTGTGGAAAAGTTACTCCAGACGTAAGAAGCAGGAATGAAGACAAAATGGAGAAGATGCAGCTACTCTTCATATTCTTTTGCCATGTGGCTTGTACTTTTTGTCCCAAACACAAAATTCACAGCACATGGCATGGAAAAGCCTTTGAGTTCTCTGTCCACAGGCATGCCCCTACATATCTTGCTGACTCATAAGGTGTATCCCCAGGCTCCTTTCCATGGCTTCATTGTCCTGCTGATGACAGACTAGGCAGTGCTGATGCCAATCTGTCTGGGAGTGTCACCCAGAAACAGCACAAGTTTTGAAATACAGATATACCATACATATCTATAACTCACAATAAAAAGGTGATACAAACCTATAAATAAGATTATCTTACTTGGCCAATCATAACATTTTAACAGATACCTTACATGTCATATCTGGTCAGATTCCTTGCAATTTTATAATATTGGTATTAACCTTATTATAAAGTGTTCCACATATTCCATACAGTGTCACGCAAAGCTAAGAATCTCTGGTATCAAATCAATATCCTAACCTAGCAGGAAAAGTGAACTGCATGAAGAAGTTTATAGAAGTGTTTGCGTACTTCTTTCAAAAGGGAACTAAAGATTCAATACAGAACTTCATATTTATTACGTGGAGATGAGAAATCCTTGTCTTTCACCAGAGCAAAGAGATCTTAAAAAGCTACTCCAGTAATGATATTTTTACTGCTTTGGAGGGGGTACCAATTTATCACGATTAGCAGCTGCATAACGCAGATCTGTGGTTGCTAGCCAGCCTGTGTCACATTGGGGAAATAGAATCAATGATTTTGAGCTTCCAAAAACAGCCTTGCCTCAGTGACTGAAAGAATCAGCTTACGCTAGCGCAGGCTGCAGAAGGAATGGCTGAATACAATCCATGAGGAGGGCTGATATATATTCTGTCTGCTAGAGGGCGGAGCTCCATCTTCTGTACACCCAAGCCAATTCGTTATCCACAAATGGAATTATCTAGTGCAAAAAAAAAAGAGCAGCTTTGTATTTGAGAGCTCGATAATGACTAAAACACCTTGATGGAGCCCAACATAAAAAAGATGTTCATTATTATTTTCTTAATTTGCCAAGAGATTCTCTCAAATCAAATTATTTATGAGCCTGAACACTTTTTGCCATGGATAAACTGTTTGGATTGCCATCTAATATTTTCCCAACCAAGGATGTGACTGTTAAGGAGCTTCAGGAGTGCACCTAACTCACATGCATCCAAGTCAATTACCGACTTTAATGTGGAGGTGCAGCCTGCAATGAATACAGATCTCAATATGCTGGCCTTTATGGTCTCTGTGAGACATCTCAAAATAGAGGATGAGGGAGGCTCTGACCATCTGTGGGCCACACAACTGCTTTGGAGTGTGAAATCAGTGCCTATAAAGTAGTAAACAGCATTTGATTCCTCTTTCCTCTGCAGATTACGCACAAATCAGCCTGATGCCAGCAGCAGGAATAATTTATCCCAGTGGCTGTGCCTGCTTCATAATGACGTCAACAGGAAGTTGGGGAAGTCTGAATTTGACTGCTCCCGAGTGGATGAACGCTGGCGAGATGGTTGGAAAGATGGTTCCTGTGATTAATCTATAGAGACTCTACAGGAAATCAGACCAATTCTAATATAATAATCATCCCTGATGTGAACTCAGTACAAGGAGATGCAGCTAAATAGTTTGTATGTTTGGTTGACATGACTTGTGGAAATAAATGTGTCTCCTGCTCTAAAAGGCAACTCAGAGATCTTATCCCAACTAATATATGGTCATGTAGCTGCTGGGACTGGCACCATACATGTGCCACAGGAACTGCCGGAACCTTGCAAAACTCTGTCATTGTGACAATTCACAGTAAGGAAAAGTCTCTCAATTTCTATAGTTCTAGGGGCACCTTGTGACTGCTGTTCCTTTCACTTTTTACATACTCCTAGGCTCCTCTTCTACATTTTTGTTTATCTGCAAACATTACCTTCAAGTTTTAGGCAGTGCCTTTCTTCCTCTATGTCACTTCAGCCTGTTCTGCTGGTCTTACAACTGGCAGCACCACTACAAATCCATAAATCTGCTCCATTCTGTGCCTACCATGTCATCCTTGATCTCTTCTTCCAAAGTCTATGAGCTGTTGTCTGTTAATGCTATTTAACCATTAATTCACCTTGCTGAAAGGCCTCAAGGCAGAGAGATTTTATTTAAACATTAAAAATCATGGAATCCAGGTCTCTCATTCCAGCCATGATAAATATCCTCATTTTGTATGTTCCTTTGTCTAATCTTCCAAGAGGGCATTGCAGGAAGAAAAAAGAAAGAAGCACAAAAACCCCAAGTAGAACGAATGGCACGAAGTCAGTAGCTGAATTTTAAACACTGTGATTTGATTGCTAATTGTTTGGGTTCATTGGGAGCATGATGTAAGAATTCCCACGGAACCACCTGCTTTTAAAGTATATATTTATTTTTAATCTCTGCTGTGAACTTTTGTTGTTTGTAGAAGTGGTTGCAATGATGTGTGTGTGTGTATGTTATCTGGTTGTAATGAAGCCAATTCAGATGAGTTTTACATATAAGAGTGGTAAAATACTGCCTGTGTTCTGAAATCCTTGATAGATAATAACAGACTGGACTGGTCTGTATGCTCCTAAGGTGAAATTCTGCCTTGGGCAGGCCCTCTGCTCTAAAGTTCTATGTCTTGTTAGACAGTCTTAAATAATATCTAGGGCTCTAGGCCCTGGATTGTGGACTTAAAGTGGTGCATGGTGTGAAATTCACCCCTAGTAACTGGTCAAGTTCCATAATGTGTATTGGGCCTCTAGGTCTGCACTACTGCATCAGTATATTCTTGAGTGGGGTGTGTGAGAGAATATTTCAGATGATAGTTTAAAATACTTAAGTTGCTTTGCTGGGCTTTGTCTATGTAGACAAATATAAATTGTTAGAATTAGTGCAAGATAGTATGAAATCTTTAATATCTTTTTTCCCTAAATTTATAAGGATTTCTGGGTACCAAATGGTCACGTGACATTCTGTGACATGTGACAGTATCTTCTGGGTCTCTTTTCTGCTGATGCTTTAAAATTGTTTGAGGGTTTTTGGTGAGCATCCTAAGTGTGTCGTCTTATGAGCTACTTCAACATAAGCAGTGATTTATGGAAGTAGATTGGGGGTGGCATGGAAATTGTAATGGGTGGTGTCTCTGTAAGTGAAGGGCGCTAATACCTTCTATTAGCAAACATCTGATTCCAAGACTATGGTACCAAGGGCTCCTTGGAGGACAGTAAACAATCAAAGCTTTGAGTGCGTTCAGATGATTTGACCCTCTATTACCCTTTCAAGCCAGACCTGTTAAAACAATACCATACTGTGTTTTTATCCAAGTTAGTTGCATTCAGCAGGCAGTGTATTTTATCTCACTGTCTGCAATATTGATCCTATGTGTAACCTTTCACGCTAATTAAACTGAAGCTTGATTTCCTATCATTTTTATGATTTAACTGAATTGGGACTTCAGGACATGATTCAGGTTATTAAAAAAAGCTCATTAAAAGTATCTCGGTGTATGTTTAGCTTCTTGGAACTAATACATTCCAAATATCTCAACCTCCGAATCCAATATTTACAATAGTGTGAAATTCATACCTGTGCAGAGGATCAGCACAAGGCCTATGCACCACTAACATCCCTCTGCAGACCTCAAAACAGTGCTTAAATCAATATCCTCAGTTGACATCTGCCTATTGCATATGCTCATCAGCAAATTCTGGCTACTTGTTTGTTAATAGGGCAGATCGTAACTGCGCTGAGTGGTTAGCTGGTAACGATAGCAAAAGTTAGTGTTCTCTTTTATGTTTACACTCTACAGGATTGCTTTGGTTTGTCATGTATTTTCCAGGCCTAATTTCATATCTGTGGTTTTGCTTCGTGGTGTTTTTTCCTCATTATAGGTCACATCTAACATTTTGATCTTATTTGTGCAATTTCTTTAGGATGTTTGTAGTCATGTAGGGAGGGAAAAAGCATGAGTTATTAATTTTAATGCATATGATGCATGTAGTTCTAAGAATCAGTATTTCTATCTATTTCCTATTGATATCAAAATAGGACAAATTATTTCACCTCTGATTTCTCCACTCCATGGAGCTTTATGAAGAGAACAGATCTCCTGGCTTGCGTTTGTATCACCATCTGAGAAACAGTAAGTGGAATTGAACACACTCCACAGGGTTATTGGAAGGCATCATTAATGTCAGTAAAGTGCTGTGATTCCCTTCAGTGAAAGGGGCCATAGACATGAAGTTATTCTGTAGGCAAGGTTCTTGCCTGTCAATTTTTGCCCTAATTTGGCTAACAGTGGAGTACCTGTTACTCTCATTGAGTCAGTGGGAGACAAATTCTGGATTCAACACACCCTTTCAGGATCAGACCTGTAACTGCACCACAGAACAACTGAAGTGTGGCAGAACTCAAGCAGACAGGTGTCCAGAGTTTTCATCCATAGTGGCTAGTAGCCAGTGTAAAGGGGATAGTCATGTTAACTACATTCAAGCTAGGCTTAGGAGAGGCAGGTGCTCCTTAATGATCACCTGGGACATAATTCCAACACTGCTCCTGTTATACCAATAAAATAAAAACCAGCAGGATCTTAAAGGGGAAAAGGCAAAATGCCACATTTATTGTGAATACAGAAAGAATCCTAGTAAGCAGTTAGTTATAGCTATAACATTCCATTCAATTTCATATTTATTCACACATTCATTCATACACACAGGTTCTGCAAGGTTGTTATAGTTACCAGCCTTAGAGTTGCTCATGTCAAGCCACTGGCCAGGTGGCCTGGACATGAGGAGGGAGCAGGGCCTTGTCAGATGCACATCTGATGCTCCTGGAAGTTGGTTTGCAGAATCAGACCCCAGAGTTCTCACTTTCTAGAGTCCATTTTTATAGGAATTTCTTCCTAGGTGAGTCTATGGGAATTGCTTCATCATGCTGTTGCTGAATCAATCAGCAGATGGCACATTCCTGACGGCTCCGTGCTGCCAGATGTTATCTTGTTCTTTGGTTCTCCCATTCTTAAGGGTGTTGGGTGGATTCCAGTTTGCCCTCCGGGGGTCCTCTAGTTATTTCCACTTGATGCCTTCTTCAGCCGATGGACACTGGATTCTTAGGCTGGCACCTCCCTGATCATTCAGTTATTATCCACACCAAGCATCATCCACATACATCCTCTATCTCTATTTTAATCACAATTGTTAACAAAGCAAGATGAATACAACAAAAGGGCGGGGAGTCTCTGGGTGCTGTTTCTGTTGTTACAGAGTATTGCTTTGAGTCTCTGTGTGAGTAGTTGTTGTTACAAAGAATTGCTTTGAGAACAGACTCTGTCTTACAATGCACTAACACAATTAGCAGCTTGCAAGTTTCACACAGAGGGACAGAAACAGTACTAAAAAACTAAGAGACCTCTTAATTAGTAATACCCTGGAATTTAAACTATAGGGAATCAAACTCATTTGTGATTTTAATACAGAACTTCTTTAATATGATCCAACACTCCTTGCAGCATTTAGCATCACAAAACATGCTGCTCTCACTAGCCAGTTTGCATTCACAATGGTGGTGGGGCTTGCAGAACAGAGATCAGGGAGCAACAAGGGAATCATCTGACTTCCGAATAAGGCAGCTCTGCCTCCCATTGCTGGTAAGTAATCTGTGGGGATGACGACTGAAGCTTTGGGAGGGACAATGTCTAAGATTTTCCCAAGGATTAACTGTTTCTGTGCAGCATATTGGGTGTAAATATTCTCCTTTACAACTGGAACCCTGGGGATAGTTCTACCCATTACTTTTTTTTTAACCCTTTAAATCTGTGTCAGCAAATATAAGGAATCTACTCTTCCCTGCTGCAAGTTCATGATTCCCATCTTGTGCTGATTGCTGCAGACAGGGACTATGCTCTATGCTTTTTTTTTTTTTTAAGTGGTGGTTTCCTAGCCCTACAAGCCTCTTTTGCCTACAGCACAGGGGATGGCAATGCAAGCTCCCCCTCCATTGTGCATTGATGGGGAGGGTCTGCTTGTAGGAATGAAAGCACAAGCTCTGTCTCCATGGATATCCAATACCCAGCACTTCTGTGGAGACTGCCAGCAAGGTAGTTGTGATGTGGGCAGTATCCACTGGGAATGAAAACACTGACTCGTTCATGTCTATCACCAAGCAGCTAACAGGTTTAGAGCTGTTGCTTACTACTAACCTAGGTCAAATTTGAACCAATGCTCATACTCTATTACTAATCCCTTGAGCCATCAACTTCATTTATAGGACTCCTCTTAAAGTTTCCAGTAACAAAGATAACCAATAGCAGCATCAGTATTTTATCTGCCTAGCTTTGAAACTGTTCTCCCTGCCTCGGGCATGTGACAATCTGCCCAGCACACCTTGGTCTATCAGTGCTTAGTGAATCAGAAGCTTCTACAGCACCAAGAGTTGTAATGGAGTCCTCGTGGGTACGCTGCATGAAAGACTTCTCCAGTGGAAAACCCTGCAACCTGAGTAGCAGTGATCAGATCAGGGCCCAGTAGGTGGGACTCCTGGGTTCTGTTCCTGATGCCTACTGCCTCGCTGTGTGCCCTATGCTGAAAGGTGCTCTGTCAGTGCGAAGTGTTATTTCTGTGCATTGTGCTGACACAGGTGTTTGCTTTTCCTTGATGTTACAAAAAAGAAAGGAGGACTTGTGGCACCTTAGCGACTAACCAAAAGTCCTCCTTTTCTTTTTGTGGATACAGACTAACACGGCTGCTACTCTGAAACTTGATGTTACAGCAATCCATCCATGTAAAAGCTCTGCTGGGCCAAGTTTTCTTCTCATGCGTGAAACACCACCACGCTTGCCCCTAAAGCACTGCCCACCGCAACCCCCTTTAGGATCTCAGCTACACTGTGATGTTGAAGTTTGTATCAGTTCTGCAGAAGTGTTCTTTTGCATTTCAACCAAGTAGCCACTGGAGGGCAACAGAGCATATGTTTCCTTAACTTCCCCATTTCTTTCTCATGCTTTTAGATCCCACAGAAACTGTCCAAGCCACCCCTGCTACTAGTTCCCTTTCTGTGGATGGTGGGAGGGAATTTCTCATTTGTTACTCTTCAAGCCAATGGCATGTTGATTTTAACTCTGGTTCTGTGGTTACCGGTCACATGCACTGCTCCTTTCATGGTTCCCTTTTAGGGAGAGAAGTGAGAGAGGGGGAACTCCCCTGCCTGTCGCTGAAATCTGCACTCAGCACCATAGGCAAACACCCACCAGCATCCAGAGAGTATGTCCAGCATGCCTTCTACCTGGTGTTCCTAGTAGTTAGTCCCTAAATGCTCCCAGGCATATGGCAAATAAGGGAATGGAAACGCCACTTTAAAAGCATTTGCCTTATCTGCTCGTTTTATAACCATTTTCTCAGCTAAAGGATTTTTCTGAGGCTTATGTATTTTCTGTTGCTGTGCAAATGGTGCTAGATTCTGTAAAGACAACTAAGAATAGTATTAGTTCTTAGCATCCGTTCTCAAACCGCTTTACCCTTGGGGAAACTGAGGTAGAGAGTGGTGAGGTGACTTGCCCAGGGTCACTCAACAGGCTATTGGCAGAGCTAGGAATGGACCTCAGGTCTCTTGAGTCCTAGTCCAGTACTTTAGCAACTATGCCACACTACCTAGACAATCCCTGCCCCAAGGAACTTAGACTAAAATGTTGGCATTAAAGGTCCCTACCTTGTGTGTTGTGTCAGCTCCTCCCACCCATGGGGGAAGGGCTGCCCTGCTTCTTCTTCCCTCCCTTTGGTGGCCTGCTGCAGAAGAGCAGCTTTAAGTTATGGTCTGCTTCACAGAGCCTTCACCCAGTTGCAGAGGCTGCAGAGGAGATCAATTGAATCAGCATGTTTCCTGGCTCTCTTGCTTCCTCTCCAACCGGTGCCACCTACCTTTTCCTGAAGGCAGCCTAGCCCAGGGCTGAACTGGGCCCCTGTGCTGCAACCAGGAACAATAGGAGTCATTGATCAATTCACTGTTTTGCTATCTCTGCACCAGCGAACAGTACTGAGGCCTCAACAAGAACAAGGAAGTTCATTATTTTAAATATATATTTATATTGCAGTAGCACCTAGAGACCTCAAACAAGCCAGGCCAGACTGCTGAGTGCTGTACAAACAGAAAATGATCGTCCCTGGCCTTAAGAGCTGGTGGGTGAGATGGTGGGAACAAACATAATAGGATGTGTACCATTCTTAGCCAGGAGCAGTGATCACAACTCGCTTTGTGTGGCAGAAACTCTGAGTTTGCATGGGTCCAAGAGACAGAGAGCAAATGGCAATGTTAAATTAACCCCCCCGCCTTTAAAAAACAAGTCAGACGTTCCACCCAGCTCCCTTCAGAGTGTTTCTCTCTTTTGTTAAAGCACTGAGCTGTATTTTCTAAAACTCAAGCACTGGACCGTTACAGTGAGCACTTCCCCCTTTGACTCTTAACTAGTTTTAGACAGGACCCAGCTTTTCTCTGCCTTTGTCATTT